ATTTTTAAGAATCACACATAGTCAGACATAATGAAACAGATATTTAACATTTAGCAGTTCCTTTCTTCAAAGACTTCATATGGTGATAAGCAAGTAATTTTAAAGAAAAACTGTAAAAATAAAAGCTGTATTGGTAGGAAACCTCAACTTTGAGTGATCAAAATGCCTTTCCTTTACTATATCATTTATAAATTCTTATGCATATGTCCTTGAAAAGAGGACATGTTTACATGTTTTAAAGGAAACAGACTTTTACTTTAAATTCCTTGCTTTGGCAATATTTTTACTTCTAAACCTGTTTGGAAATAATATAAAATCATCTTCAATAATGAAGACTTCTGAGATTCCAAAACGCAACAATGAACAGACGGAGAGCAGCAATGAGCAGTTCTATTGTACAACACAAATTTGGACACCAGCTCTGAAATCTGAAGGAAATGTTTTTATAAAATAGACATATAATCATATTTAATTATTCCACAGAATACATGGATCCATAGATGAATCATAGATAGAAATGCATTTTCCCTTGCTGTTTTGACAATATTTCCCTATAGACAATAAATTGTACTTTTATATACTGTAATTCATAATGATGGAGATTTTTTCTCTAACCATGACTTTATGTTTATTTGACTGATTTTAATGAAATTGTAAATGTTACAATTTCTTTTGGGAGAAAATCTGGATGACTTGGCATAACGTCAAAGGACAAAATGTAATCACAAGTATGAGATGGAACCTGCCAAGCCTATGTCCCAAGTCTAAGATGTTTATTGTATAATTGCTAATTGACCTTTGCTTTTGGATGTGTTAACAAAAATGCCAACCATTTTCCCAGTCACCCCTTTTCGCCTCGTCAGAAGATGAGAAATAATATATCTGGACTCCAGGATAGTGGAGCTGAGGGCTGCCTCACAAATTTGCATGGCATCATAATTAAAACATGATAGATAGATTAGATAGATAGATGATGATGATAAATAGAGATATAGATAGATGATAGATAGATGATAGATAGATGGATGGATGGATGGATAGATAGATAGATAGATAGATGGATGGATGGATGATAGGTAAATAGATGATTGATGATAGATAGATGATTGATAGATGATAGATATAGATAGTTGAATGGATGTGTTAAATTAAATGCAACAAGATAATTTATTCATTTTAATGTACTTTAAATGCTCAAGTGAATAAATTCATAGTTTTGTGAGGACTTTACTACCAAAATCCTAGTTAGCATAATTCCCATACACATAGTCAATATTTAAGTCATTTTTATTGGCAGGATGGGAACATCTCGTGGTTCTGGATTTCAGGGACAATAATTGTCTGACTAGGATAGTTTATGTAACTGATTTACTTATGAGATTCCTTATTTTTTCAGTCTCTTAAATGCCCAAAATGGCACTACAAAAGTAAATTATGTTCATATAAATATAGGTTCATATACCACCCAGGGCTCAGAGACCATTGTGGAAGAGGAGGGGAAACTGTTGTAAGAGCCAGGGGAGGAGATGCATAATCGTAAGGAAACAGAGTCTTACAAGCTCCTGGGATCTTGCTCATATGAACCTACAGCAATGGTGTCAGCATGCATAAGACCCATGCAAACTCAGTCAGACAAAAACCCAGCATAGAACTGGGGAAATGGGCAGCAGGCCCCAACTGTAGCCAAGGAACTATTGGCAGATGATTATTGCTGGGTGAGGGAGAGTTGATATTCTTTAAGGTAGAGACTCTAGTCAGGCTGATTAGACCCCAGTGGATGAACTTGCACTGAGGGACAATTGAGTACACTAACTTGGCTCGATGGCCTTAAAATATAGGACAGAATACACGAAATCCAGTGGGGGGGGCTATATATGATGCAGATGGGGGAGAGATATAAAGATGATTAAGATATAAGATATTTTGTATGAAATGCACAAAAATTCAATAAAAATATATAATAAAAACAAGTTCATATAATCTAGAATACTAGCCGTTTTGATTCTGACACTTGTAGTTTAAGAATCACAGGTTTGAATCTGTTTATTTTGGTTTTTTGAAGCATTTCTGACGTGTTTCACAGCCTGTATACAGAGCTAATTTAAGAATATCATTTTAGAGAAAAGAGTGATAGATGATCTTCATTTCATCTGATAACAAAATCTTATTTTATGTACAAATTTAAAAATATTATCATAGTCATTTTTTAGGAAGAAATATCCTGCATTTTAATTTTATTTCTCTGAGGAAAAAAATTTATCTTTTAGGTTTTTAATTTTAAATACAATTAAATTTTAGACTTGTAGTTTGATTCCTCATCTTTGAGGAGAAATTTCATCACTGAAATGTTGTTTAATATTTAAAATTAGGGTGGCTTCTGCTTTAATTATCATTGCTACACATGTACACACACACACACACAGAGCCTACAGGGTCCATTTAGTGTTGCTCATGTGTACATGTGTTTAGGGATGACCACTTGGGATTGGATAAGCTATCAAAAAAATTGTCCCTGGAGAAAACTGATTCTTCCTCTCTGAGCAACTAGAGGTGGACTTCATGAAATTTCTACCACCCACATTGGCTTGTCAACTGGTGTTGTCATTATTCAGATCTTGTCTAGGCAACCACGTTGTTGTGATTCCATGGGTGCAGATTCCCTGTAAGCATAGTATACTATGCAGGTAGTATCTGGAAGATACTATCGAGTAGCATACAGTACTCATGTATGAAATTCTCAAAAAAATAAAAAGTTTGAATTAAAAAATAGGACGGCATCAAGAAACTCAGCAATTGAAATGTAAGTGAAAATTTTAAGGATTTTATCGTTATTTAGAATCTGTTGTGAAGATGTGTCATAGGAGAACAGTAAGTGTAAAGAAAGCATAACTCTTTAAATTCTGGTCAAACATTTTTTTTTCTAAGTGACCTCTGCCCTGCAAAATGTTGCCTGAACAAACTGCAAGCAAGCAACTTGGAAAACAGAGGTCTCATAAAGAAATCAATTTTTAAAATACAGATAAATTGCAGAAGCAATCTCTGATGTATTTCAGTCTGATCTTAAACTATTCAAATTGATAAACATTCTAGAGCATATTAGTTCAATGTTATTTTCTACCATGACTATTTTTTATGAAGGTTGGAAGTAACTTGTCTTTAATCGAATACTACTCTGTCAATTAGCAAAATTTACTGAGCATCTACTATGCCTTGAATCTGATGCAAGGGGCTGGACCACTGCAATCTTAGTTGCTAACACAAAATAATAGAAAAATTTGGAGGGCACTGTAAGATTGCTTCTCTTAATCACAATGTCAGAGACTGAACTTTCCCATAACTCTCATGTGCTTCCCATAATTTTGTCTTAATACCCAGAGACAGAATACAAAACTGTAACATCCAAAGGAAAAATATAATTTAAACCTTCGGTTTAAAAAGTAGTTATCAGGCTAGAGAGATGGCTCAGTGGTTAAGAGCACTGACTATTCCTGAAGAAGGCCCAAGTTTGAACCCGAGCACCTACCTGGCAGGTAACAATCGTCCTTATCTCCAGTTCCAGGAGATCCAACACCCTCTTCTGTCCTGTGGGCACTGCAGGAAACAGGTGCACTTACATACATGCAGGCATAACACTCATACACAAGAAAAAAAGGTGGTTATGTAAGGCTGAGGGTGTAGCTCAGTTCTTAGATTGCTTGCTTGGCATGTATGAAACCCTGAGTTGAATCCACAGCACCACATAAACCAGGCATATGCCTGTAATCTGAGTACTCAGGAAGTAGTGGCAGGAGGAATAGAAAATTGAAAAACAAAAGTTAAGGTCATCCCTGTCTACGTAGCAAGTTCAGGGCCATCTTGGGCAAAAAAAGAAAAGAAAAGGAAACTTCATTTCTTTACAAAGGTCTGAGGAAGAAGTAATAAGATACCCAACTTGAATCCATTGTTTTTTATTGGCCCAGTAACCACCATTCTCAGCATTCATTTATTTTTAAATTATTTTCAGAGAGCTCAAGTTAATGAAGTTGTTATGTTATATTAATTGTACATATTGTACAATAATCAAGACATTAGGGAAATTTTGTGAAGAATTTAAGTAAGTATATTTTTTCAATTTTTTTATTATTTTTATGTGTACGAGTGTATTGCCTGCATGTGTGTAAGTGTACCCATGTTGTGCAATGCCTGCAGAGGTCAGAAGAAGGTGTCGGATTCCTCTGGAACTGGAGAATTACAGATGGCTGTTAGCTGCCATGTGTATACTGGGAAACAAACCCAGGTCCTCTGCGAGAACAGCCAGTCAATTCTCTTAACTGCTGAGCCATCTCTCCAGTTCCGTAGGTATATGTTTTAAAAGTAAGATTTCTTTTTTTTTTTTTTTTTTTTTTTTTTTTTTTTTGTCTTTTTGAGACAGGGTCTCCCTGTAGCCCAGCTGTCCTGGAACTCACTATGTAGACCAGGCTGGCCTTGAACTTACAGAGATCTGCCTGCCTCTGCCTCCCGAGTGCTGGGGTTAAAGGCATGTGCCACCACACCCTGCAAAAGTAAGATTTCTTAAAAAAAAAAAAAAAAAAGTAAGGTTTCTGCTACCATTTTGAAAAACGATTTCAAAGTCTATCTATGGTTAACACAATTATTTTACTAAAAGGAACAAATATTATCTGGAACAAATATTATTTAAAAATCTTACAGCATGCATAAACACTTCTCTATAACAAAATCATATTACAACATATGCTTGAACAATTGAAGATAAAGAGGTACATGAACTCTAAAAATAACGGAAAAAAATCCTCAAACTTTATTTCATTGATGTCGAAATGAATAAGACAAAAACTATAATGTAGTCAAGGGAAGAAAATGTACTTTCTAAATATCCAGAGTGTCTGTGGATATATGGTTTTGCTTTTAAGTTTGCTTTGATTTTATTTGTTTTGCTTTTGAATATTAATTACTACCCTCAAAAACATCTAAAAATTTAGCTAAATATTCTTTGTTTTTAGGAGCTCTCAGAAAATGAAGTGTTTGGATCTTATTTCTCTGTGAAGTCTTTCTTTTGGAGGGTAATGTTGAAATCTTTTAATATTAATATTCTTGAGTTTTGGTTCTGGATAGTAATTTTAAAAGTTAAATGTGAACTAAGAAATCACATTTTTAAAACAGGCTCACAAATACATGCATTCATTTGCCTTATTTATTGACTTTTTTTCAAGCCATCTCAACAACTCTTTTCTTCACTTAAAAACAATGAAACTTTGACTTTTAGCCAAGGAACTAGCTACTTTTCTTTGGGGTCTTTTTACCCTAACTGCCCAGCCAATTCCTACCATCTATTTTTATCACACCATCCTCTGAAAAGGTTACCCAATTTGCAGATAGGGAATCGGGAGGCAGACCGCTCTGGCTTCTTCCATGCTGAACAGGGACGCAGGGTGAGGCAATTGGGGTACCCCTTCAGTGGGTCTATCTAAACGACTCCTAAATTGCATAACTCCTGTCTGTAAGGGGGAAAGAAAGTCCTTGATTGGTGATGGGAGGAGTTGGAGAGGAGGGAGTGGGCATGGATTTAACCAAAACACCTTATATGCATGTATGAAATTCTTTGAAAAACACAGGTCTTTGAAGTCCTTCTTTGTTGGAACAACTTTATTACAAATGTTGAAGCACTGAAGTTTCAGAGACCTTCTAGGAATATTGTGGCTCTATATAGAAAGTAAACTAAGACTCTTTGTTCCAGTCTGGAAAATGGGATTATTTTCTGCTCCATTTCCAGTCAAGAAAAACATACTCTTATTGTAGTGATCTTAAACAACACATATAATAAATCTACTGTAGATAATTAGTGCTACTTCTTTGAAAAATGTGTGATCTAGTAAACATCAACTCTGATTTAAATGAAAAGAACATAAAAATTCTACAGAATCCTTTTAAAATGCCATTGTAATTTAATGTGTGTTCCATGACATCATCACGAGCTCTGTCATCCATTTTTTCTTTTATGTAACTGTGTTATGCTCTACGTTTACTAATTTATTACTAATGTCCTTCAATACTTTGCCTTTAAGACTGTCCTTTGTGTGAAAACTCCCACTTGGCCCATGATTTTATAGAAATAGGCATTACAGTGAAAAATGTTACATTCTTAAGTCTTTGCTATTTACCTTTCTTGCTTCCAAACTATTCACTATAAAAAATTATGTTTTCTTCTTTATAAGTCTAAGATTTGTTGCAGTGTCTCTTGAGCACATTGTCATGTTCCAGATGACATCAGGCACTGACCAGTAAACCATTGTAAGCCACATTCTCTCATCCCTGCCTGCTCCAACATAGATACACGTGCTGTTTGCAGCCCTTTTTGTGTGTGGTGAGCTCTTCTAAATGAATATAGCATCTCCATTTCCTTTCTACTGCCTTCATAGAGACTGTCTTCACTGAAGTTACTCTATACCTTTGCTGAGATAATAATTGTTCCTCCTATATATTGTCCATGGATATATAGGCTGAATTTTTTTGAATACTTAATTAAAAAATGGCTTTTTGTTTCCTTGAGAGCAGAATTGGGGGCATTGTGTTGAGTTTGTTCTTTGTGCAACAAACATGCAAGACAAGTAGTTGTGAGTCAAAATTTGCTGCTTATTTGAATTATTACCCTTTCCATAGTTCCCATTTTAAGGGGCTCGTTCAACATCTTTTTACTTTGTTACTCCCAAATTAGTCTTCCACTTATCAGTGCTTTCAATCTGGTTCTAGTCTTCCTTCAGTCTCTTGAAGTATTTGATTTTAGAATAACAAATATTTAGATTTAAGTGGTAGGTTTTGTACCCAAGGTACAGTGAATACCTCTACTCTGGGCACTCAACACCAAATAGTGACGTATGAATTTCATCAAAGGCAGACCCATTAGGGATGTTTATTTTACCAGTGAGGAAATTAAAGTCCAAAGAAGTACTGAAGGTACTTCAAATACTCAAAAGTACTTCAAAGGATATGATTAGGACCAACATTTTTTCTCTCTGAATGTCATAAAAAGAAATGTTTGCTACATGGAGAACATATAGCAATGAGGCTTCTGTTCCGATCGGTGATCAAGGAAATGCCCCTAATAAACAGCGTTGCTTCTTTATTAAGGAATTGCTGAGTTTGATGTCCCATTGACAAAATCTGAAAATCAATAACCAAGTCTAGTGGGATAAATAATAGGCCACATATTCACACCAAAGTCACTCTGATAACTGGCCCCACAGCTCTCTGTTGGTATTCTGATGAGCATTTTAGAGAAATATGTGAAAGGATGTTTTTCCCTGAATATATTCAGATATGCAAAAGAGATACTAAATAGCTCGTATAAAATCCTGCATGAAGATTCTACTGTAAAAAAATGTTCCTATAAAACTCATGACTTTGTAAGCTAACTTAACACATAAAGGAGAGGCTGCAAAGATGGTCAGATAGTAACAAGCATGCATTGCTCTTGCAGGTCCTCTGAATTTGGTTCTCAGCATCACGTTGGGCAACTCAACTGCTTCCAGTACCAGGGTATCCGACACTTTCTTCTGCCCTCCCCAGGGTTATATTCATGTGCACATACACACATGCAGAAACACACCCACACATAATTAAAAATAACCTTTTTTTTTTTTTTTTTTTTTTTAAAACAGGGTCTCCCTGTAGCCCAACCACAAATCAAAACACAACCCCCCAAAAATTAAAAAAAACCTTTTTTTTTTTTTTGTCTTTTTAAGACAGGGTCTCCCTGTAGCCCCAGCTGTCCTGGAACTCACTATGTAGACCAGGCTGGCCTTAAATTCACAAAGATCTGCCTACCTCTGCCTCCCAAGTGCTGGGATTAAAGGCATGCCCCACCATGCCTGGCTTTAAAAATAACTTTTTAAAAAGATTAATAAATGAAAGAAAAAATGTTAAACGTGTTTTGTGAGGGGAAAAACTTTATCATCTTTATTATCATGATCAGTATGTGTGTTCAAGAGGTATCAAGTGAGTTAAATGAGTCAAAATAAATCCTACTGAGAGCTTGCTTGGCTAAAATGTCAGTCCTTATTATATCTTCATTTCTTGAAAGAGAAATAATGAAAATAAAAGACTAAAGTGATACAGCACTATTCTAATTTCTAAAAGTGTAACATTTATAATTCATTGAAACACCGTATCTCAGAACACAGAGAATTAAGCAGTGGATACAGGATACCATGTTTCTCCTGAAAACAATGGAAATTATTTGAAATCAAATCAGATTACTCCAATTAACTCAGAATTTTATTAAAGACTTTTAGCTTCCAATTAAAGAAGGGTCATTTAGAGGAGTTCTTTCAAATATTTAGCATGCTATGTTTCTTCCTAGTGATCGCTGCTGAACACACATCTAGACTCTGATAGCAGAGTTAATTGAAGAAACCATCTTACAAAAGGATTTTAGCAGATTAAAGAGCAATTAAAAATTTTTTAATAGAAAGGGCTGGGATATGCCAAGACAAACTCATGTAAGGGTGGAGAAGAGGATTACGACAAGCAAAGAAGCATATGTAGAAAAATACAATGGAGAGTTACTTCAGAGCATGCCTATGGGTAGGAGGAAGACTGAAGACAAAGGGAAAGAGTAACTGACTTTAAAACAAGAATGTGATTCTGTACTCGAGCGCTTACATCATGAACAACTCAAGAACATACTATATTTCCCCAAAAGATCACAAATTACTTCTACTGTTGATATGAAAATAAGACTGTCATATTTATAAGTTTTAATTTAAAATTCTAAAGAAAGGCTCTGTGAACCAAATCAAGGACTATTATTCCTTTCCTGTATCATTGGTAAAAAATTTTAGGTTCTTTTAATATTGTGATATGGTCAAAATAGAAATAACTTTCCACTACAATATACTTTGAACAGCCTGGTAAGCACTTGAGAACTTTTATTTAGCCAGAAAGTTACAGAGGATAGTTAAAACACCTTAAAAGTAACTAACTTCCTGGCACCATAAATTGTATAAAGAAGCAATAAAAATATGAAACAGAATTTAAGGATAAAACCCAGGAGACTTTCTCTAAGGATTACAGTGCCAGTGAATCATCCTCTAAGTAAAAGGGTTTCGAGCTCTATTATTAAGGGAAACACTTCACACTAGGCTGCACAAAGCACTGGGGGAGCTTTCTGTAAGCAATCCTGCTTTGAGAGGATGGATGACTGCAGAACAAATCTACTTGTTGGACCTGATCATCTAACTGCAATTCAGTGGAATAAATGCTATGGGGAAGGGAAAAGATAGAACATGCCTCTGTCTGGGGTTGAGCTAATAATTGCTCCACAGTCATTTTTGCAGCACAAAACAGTCATCCTAGGCTGTCATTATCCCTTCTTTGTAGTGGCCTGTGGATCATTTGATTAAATAAAAGCACGTGCCACCTCTGTGCTGAAAATAGAGAAAAGAGCTGACTCCACATGCAGCCCATTGTAAACACACAAGCCAGGCCTTTCCCGCAGCCTTGCAGTGTCTGTCTCATTTGGAAGGATTAGGATTTACACAGGTAATACAATCCAGGATAACAAAAGCCAAGGATTATTTGTGCATATCAAGGAGAAGATTGGACTGTGTCCTCAGTCACATGCTAGGTCTACATAGATTTTGCTTTTATTTATTTTTAAATCTTAGTATAGACCAAGAAGATATATCCTGTTATTATTCAGTTCTTTGAGGAATGGAATTAGTAAATTGTATTAGCTAGAAGGTGAAAATGGAAGTTTTGCTTGTTTCTATGCTAGATTCTGCCACTTGATCACCTTATTGATAGAGGACAATGTAAAAACAGTTAACTTTCATCTTGCTTTACTGAATAACATGTACTAGAGTAATTCCCAGCCAAGTTACTTCCTTTAATCCTCTAATTAGCCTTTCTCAATAATCTATATCTAGGATATATTTCATCTAAATAAAAATCAAAGCAATTTGAAAAACCTGAAGCAATAAATCTTTTTTATGTGTCATAAGCTTCTAAGGTTGTATATTTTTAAAAAAAATGAAATATAGGGAAAGGGTAAATCACAGATAAGCAACCCCAAAACAAACACCAATCCTGGCAATCTCTACACATTTGGCTTTGAGGTTTTAGCCTCTCTTTACCTTAGAGTAAATGGCCGCCACAAAAAACATGTAGGGTATGATTAAAACACGGCATTTAATAGATGTTCAGTAAATGTTTCTGTGTGACCTACCATGCCTCAGACTATCCTAATTTGATTTTTCCTATTGGTGATGTTATCAAGGCCAATGTTTCTCATCTCTTCCTAACATAATGCTGTCATTTAGAAATTTAGTAGCACCTCTAGAAATCCTTAATAGAAACTTTCAGATCTACCTTGATGATTTACTTCCAAAATCCCCTGTTCAGCTCTGTTTTTCTTAACCTGTCTCTTGCTGCTCATGGTTTCAGTAGGTAAGGGATCTTTGTGAGTTCTTCATTTGATTTGGTTGTTTTTGATGTTTTGTAGGGTTTCTTTTTAATAGTAAAGGCCATAAAGAAGAGTTTATGTGGGACAAATTTTCTCCATTAATCTAGAGGTCTTTAAAAATCATTACAAAATATTTATTCATGGGTACAAGGGTGACATGATCATTTCTTTTGTTTGTCCATGTAGCATCTATGTATCTTGAGTCTTCTGTCTTTGCATCAGAAAAAAAATCTTCAAAATATTGAATAGTATCATATTTGGAAAATTATTCTTTCTGTGTTTATTTTTTCTCATATATCTACTAACAAAGCACTAAAACCATTTAAGAAGGGCCTTTCACTTTATAGCCTTTGTGCTGTGGTATCATCCTCCTGAAACCAAAATGGTGGTTGCATACTGTACAGTTGCATTGGCATTTACCTCCACGGTGCTACAAGAAATTTTCTGGCAGTGACTTGAGGAGCAAAACCATAATTTTAAATGATATTTTTCTAAAGAAACCATTTTACACGCTGATCAAAATGAGGGGTGGAGACTGGCTTGCAGGTTTCCCATACAGTTCTGATCTTCATTCCCATCCAGACATGCAGCAGGCCTGCTCTTCCTGTCCTGGGCTTCTACAGAGCAGAGCTTCAGAGCCCCTATTGTCAAAATGCACAAGTAAGTTCAACCAATCAGTTCATTTGTTTTCTCTGAGCTTGCATGATCTGTGAATTCTGAGGGCTGACTTCCTGTACTGAAACCATTTCCAATCTTAACTCACTTTAGACATATGAAAACTAATCGTAATCTTCAATTTTTTTTCAAAAAATAATGTAAGCAAACTAATATTCTCTTTAATGTGTCAACTAGTCCTAAAATCTAACAATACGTATTAACAGCCAATTGCTTCAGATTTTGAAATTCATGTTATTATCTGATATCCTGATATCCTGTATTAATTCTAAATGTGAATGAATGTTCCTTATGAGAGTGACCCTCAAATACTGACATGTAGTAGAATCATCAGAGCACATATAGTAAAGACTCTTCTCATAAAAACTGAATCATGTCCAATGAGGATCAAGCCCATGAATTTGAAGACCTGCTAAAATTTAAGAACTACTGTCCTAAAGGTTCAAAGACTATTTTTTTCATTGACAGCATGGCTGTTGGCTTTCATGCCGATTTAGATTATCTTTTTATTCTTCCTCCCTTTTTCTTTCTCTGACTAGTAGAATTCTAATTAAACAAGCACTTATCTGAGAACATTAACCTTAGCTAACCAACTACTAGGTATAACTTTGTTGAGGGTCGTCATAGATCTGTTTAGTATTCCTTGCTCTTTAGGTGCTCAATAAGAAGTTTTGGTTGACTGATTATTAGTACTATAATTAATGTCTATCATTTATATGTATTCTGTGAGGAAAATATTAATAAAAGGAGGTAATAAATTGCATTTTCATGATTAGCCAGTTAGGTTTGTACTTCTGTCTTTAAATTGCCCAAATATCTAGAGTAAACTGCCTTCCTGATCAGTAGTAAATTTAGAGACATGGCTAAAGAATGGGTTTAAACAGTATAAGTAATACCTATGCCAGAGAATGGATAATTTTTATGATTATATTAACTAGTAATAGGTGTTAGAGCATAGGTGAAAGCCAGCATCCACATGCACCATGTAACTTTTTTATGTGTATGAGATTGTCTGCCTGTGTGTGTGCCTGAGGTGTGCAATGCCCATAGAGGTCAGAAGAGGGCATCAGATCCCCTGGAACTGGAGTTAGAATGGTTGTTAGCCACTATACAGGTGCTGGGAATTGAACCCCGGTCCTCTGCAAGAGCAGCCAGTGCTCTTAACTGCTGAGCCAACTCTCTAGCCCCAACACCATGTAACTTTTAAAGTAGGGGCTGTCATATTGAGCAGATATCAGAACCACCTAGATGGGTCCAACTCCCGTAGTGTGTGATGCTACTGAACTATTAAAGGACCAAAGAGTCTGAATTTCTGATAAGTTCCAAGGTTGCATTGATGCCTCTGCTCTCACAAATTTGCCATATAAGGAAACAAACTTTTGGAGCAGAGCAAGTGACTTAGAAGGTTCCGTGGAGCACCATGGTTAGTAGATGTCATCATTTTTCTATTTATCCATGGGATTATGCTTATCACCACTCTTTCAATGAGTTCTCCACAACATTCATTTTTAAAAATAGGTAGGAGTAGTGAACTATTTTAAGCGAGTGAAGTTCTTCATACAGGCACACCAAAGGTTGTTCTTCATATTCACGGGCCATAAAGAAGTGTTTTGAAAACCAAACACAAGAAAACAGAGTCCAAGAAAGGAAACAACTACCCAAATCACCTAGAAATTGCTAGAAAGATATTATTATAGTCTTCTCTTGGTGTCATGCTGGGGAAACCATTTCAACTCCTCCCCCCCCCATGAATACCAAGCAGATCTAGAAAATAAACCTGCATAGCATTTACATATATCCTATGTACATCTTCCAGAATACGTCAAATCATTTCTAGATTAGTTATACTAACTAATACAACATAAGTGAAATTAACTAGTTATTACACTGTATTGTTTAAAGAATAATGACAAGAATAACTCTGTACATGTTCAATACAGAAGTATTTTTTCTGAACATTTTCAGTCATTAATTGAATCTACAGATGGAGGACCCAGAGATGCAAAGGACCAGCTGTGCTTAAGCACCTGTCTTTTCTAATATGAACTGCCCAAGCTTGCCTAATCCACTTTTATCTCTTAAATTTATATCAACATTTTATTCTTCATATTCTAAACTAAATGTGTATCTGTTTAGTGATATGCAGTTTATTCTAATTATGAACTTATCCAATAACATTCTCAAATGAATTATAGAGTTTCTTTTTCAGACATGTACCATTTTGAACAAAAGATATTGAAAAAGAAAATTATGTTTTAAAAAAATTCTAATTTATTTTCAGAACATTTTTATTCTTGTTAGCCCATTTCAGAGGGCACTTTAATTCCCATATTCATTCTCTCTGTTTTATGTGATGAACTCTCTCCTTGCTCCCCCTCCTTTGTTTCCTGAATTGCTTAAGAAATATCCATCTAGAGTCTAGGAAAGCATTTCTCTACAACCAATGGCATTTGGCAGAGACTGCAGGGAATGTATTCTTTCTCCTCCTCATCTTATTTGTGTTCTCTTGCAAAAGAAAAGGGAATGAGGAGAGCAAACAAGTAAGGGTTTCAGATGTGTTACTACTACAGAAACTACCCTGACATTGTTAACTGAACATGTGCAACTCAGGTTGCACCCAACTCCCATTTCACTGTCAGGTATGACTTTTGCTTCCAGAGAATATGTAGAAGGCATGTTTCAGTAAACTGAGCTATTGTAAATATACATGCACTGATATGATAGAAGAGTATGAAGTGATTTCCTAAATTCACCGTGTAAGAAAAACCCTACTGTAATGTTATTTCTAGTATCATCAACCCACTTAACCTGAGAGTACATTTTGGCACTATTATAATTTAAATCATGATCATTTTTAAGCCTGTAAGAGAATGTTTGTCCTAAACACCTATTTTGTGAGACACTCAAGACTAAAAGCCAGAAATTCTAGCTTCTAGTCACATGTCTATCATTTATTAGGCCAAACACTTGGTGCCTCAATTATACATCCTTAAAATGGGGCTGAGGATTTGCCTTCCTACTGAGGGTTTTAGTAGAGGCCAAATGATGTACATATGCACTCTTTGAAATTTTTAAAGCTCTATATGAATGGGCAGTTAGTTAACTTACTGGTCTTTACTAATGTAATTATTTCTGCTTCTTGCTGTAACACGCATTTTCTTCCCTTGTAATTCATATTCCTTAACACAAGTTTCAAAAGCAAAGTCCAAACCCTTTTTAGGCACTGCTGTTAGGGGCAGTCTCAACAGCAGCAGAGGTTGTCAAATCAATCAGTCAATCAGTCAAAATCCATTGGCATGGCAATGAGTAGCATGCAATCCTAGAACAAACAAGCAAAAGTCCTCAGCCATATCTTGGTGCAACAATTTCCAAACAATCATTTTGAGAAACCCTTTCTTCAAACAAAATTCAGTGTAGAAACCTAGTATGTAAAATAGATAGAAGCAGAGTATCTTAGTGAAGTAGGCGGTGTTCTGTGGAACTGGCATGCACTTTGGAACCTCTCTTGCTCAGCTGAAGACTGCTCCTGAAGGTCACAGGCCAGGAACGTGCTGATGTTAAGAAGACAGAGCCACTATCAATGTTCCAACTTTGCCATTCAATAAGTCAGGGAAATATGCAGTGTGTTGTTCCAGAAAGATTTCCATCGAAATATTTCAATTAATACAACTATTGTCTTTTGAAAAACTTAGTTTTTATTTTTCTAGTAAAAGCAACCTGAAATACAAGACTTTTGATGATGACATGTAAAATGGCTATGGTGTTATTGCAGTATGGAAAAAGATACGAGGTGAAACTGGGGGAGAAATGTACCAGATGGGCTGAAACTTCATGAAGCTGATAAAGAAGGGATTAGGCAGAATATAAAGTTGATCCTTAATTTGTAAGTCGAGGACTGAATTTCTTCATGAAACAACGGTAGGTGGGACAAACAAGCTCAGTAGCAGAAATGATCATTTCACCGTCCTGCTTGATACTGACTGCAGATTGAACATATTTACTGTTTACTGTACCTTCTCTGATTTGCTTTATATGCCATTTTTGTTTTTGTTAAGCATGTTAGATATATTAATAGATTTGCTAGTTTCAAATTTTTGATTTTGTTCACTAGCTTGAATAATGTGATTTAGAATTGAGCATAATAGAGATTATTAAAGAAAATGCTCAAATATTTGAATGAGAAAAAAAATCCAGAGGCATCTTTCCAATATAAAAAGCATTTTTTGACTTAAATAACTGTAAAAATGTGTGACACAAGCTTCAGGCATAAGCAAGGTGTCCTGGGTTAGCATATCATTTAGCTTTGTGTTCTGTGGTAACTTAAGTAGTTCTTTAGTGAGCTGAAATTCTGCATTCCCCAATGCAGTAAGGAAGCTTTGAAATTATCTAAATGTAACTTTCAACTAACCTTACAACTAAAAGTCATCTGCAAAATACATTTAACATAGAAAAATAACTCCTATAACCATAAATAATTTTTATATTAAATAGAACAGTATAGATGTGGCCTTTGATATTTGTAATATTTATTTTGGATATATTTTGACACAGGCATCTTTGACACAAGTGCAAAATTCTTTGGTAGTTTTGAAGTATGTATATCATGAGATGATAATTTTATAATTTGTTAATAATTTTATAATTAACACATAATACTCTATAAAGTAATTAATTGTTTTGAAGTTTCCATATAGCCCCAGCTGGCCTGGAGCTCACTATGTAGTCCAGACTGGCCAAGACCTCAGGGAGATCCGCCTGCCTCTGTCTCCCAAGTGCTGGGATTAAAAGCATGTGTCATTGTGCCCCGAAAAATGAATTTAACTTTTAAACACCTTAATTGCTTAACTTTTATTCTTTGAAAAAATTGTAACAGGGAAAAGGGCCAAATGAATGACTGGAGTTTAAACACAGTAAGCTAACTCACTTTTTCTTTGCCAAAGTTTCAGACCCAAAGTTTACGTCTATCAGACCAGCACAGAAAATCACATCTGTGGAGAGGAATAGTCAGCATCACGTTGATCGAGGGGCGGGACCTCAAAGCCATGGATTCCAATGGGTTGAGTGATCCCTATGTGAAGTTCCGGCTTGGCCATCAGAAGTACAAGAGCAAGGTAGCTCTCGGTTCCGTCTCTTGTGCTCCTGTCACTATTAGGAAAGCACTGACTAGTTAGTAGGTATGCTTAGGAGATGAAAACACTGGATACTTTCTCAAATGCTTAATATGGCTTTGGAATATCATGTCAGAAAGCAAGACTATCAGTTCTATGATGTTCCCTCCCTCCTTCCCTTCTTCCATCCTTCCTTCCTTCCCTCCTAGTTTTTTTTCCCCTTTTTCTTTCCTTAACATGCCCCCATTCAGACAGCCACAGATGCTCTGAGCTCATGATTGTAATAGCCGTTTAGTATCCAGGAGTTTTCAAATGCGTTTAGGAATAGCACGAGTCTCTGCATGCCCCTCTTTCCCCTACTGTAGAAATGGAATTAAGATAATACCTGCCAAAGCAAGTTACTGAGAAGACTAAATGAATATATTTTATACAGAAAGGGCTTAGAATACTACCATGCTCATAATAAATACCCAAGTAAATGCTAAAAGCAGAAGGAAGGACAGTAGTAATACTTGTGGAGTAACAATTTTATTATTTGTAATACTCTATTAAAAATATTAGTAGTATGTCATTTATAGAAATAATAATAATAATGGCCATGCTACTATATTTTTGGCCTATTCTGTCTTTGTTATACCCAATTAGAGCTGTTCTCAGTTTTCACAGTGGTATTCACAGACAAATGGTTTCCACCCTGAATTCAAGATCATCCTCCATTTTGGTGGGGGTTCCTTGGCCTTAGTGTACTCATTTTCATGCAAGTTTGATCAACACCCTCCCTAGCTCCCTTCTAGCCCAGAAAGTCTTCATCAGTGCTAAATGTAGTTCAAAGGATCACAGAGCTGAGTCATTACCAGGCTGTTTGCTTATCATATTGAGTGTCTATATGGAAGTTTTGGACATCATTTTTGAGCAGAAGGAAATTGTATAAGAAAGGCAATCATAAAATTGAAAACTGAAAAGTTCATCTCTTTATAGGCAGATAAATAAGACAGACTACATTCCAACATGCCGTAGGAGTTCATCAGAGCCCAAGAAGACATTTTAATTATCATACCTTTCATATAGTACCATTTTTTTTTCACCAGGAACTTAAGAACAAAAAATAATTTAAAATAAAAACAGGCTTATAGTCAAAAAAATTTTTTTGTCTTTTTAAGACAGGGTATCCCTGTAGCCCCAGCTGTCCTGAGACTTACTCTGTAGACCAGGCTGGCCTTGATCTCACAGAGATCCATTTGCCTCTGCCTCCCAACTCTAAGATTAAATGTAAGAACACCATGCCTATTTTAGAATTTTTATGTATATAAGTGTTTTGCCTACATGTATAAGTGCACCATATGCATGTAGTGCCTATGGAGGCCAGGAGAGGGCATCAGATGCCCTAGAACTGGAGTTATAGATGGTTATTAGATGTCATGTGGGTGCCAGGAATTGAACTTGGGTCCTCTGCCAGAGCATCCAGTGCTCTTAACTGCAGAGCCATCTCTCCAGCTCATTAAGAACAAATTTTAAAGTGGCTCCTTCCAAAAATAGATTTACCTATGACCACTTCCATCTTCTCTCAACCTGATTTGTATGTTCTAGTAGGCATAAAGCATTACTTATTTTTATAGTTCTAGTCTTTAGATATGAAGTATGAAGCCCCACTGTAGACATGTGTCTCTCTTTGCTCTTTCTGTCCATGATCTATTACAGATTAATTTCAGATTATGAACTTTAAAATTGTGATTCATTTGCATTACCTTTGCACATCACATACTTCATTGCTTTCAAACTCTACATTTGAAGATCTGTCTGTCATGCATCAAAAGAGAGAAGGCCATTGCATCCTTTTTTGTTTAAAAAAGAAGGAAAAGGGAAACAAAAATGAGTGTGGCCTAACCAAATGTTGAAGGGAATTTTATAACACATCAATATCAGTAACTTTGTTCATTACGTCCAGCATCTTCTCTGAATACTTGTAGTCACAAAACTGCAGTTTAGACATCTTTTATTGCATATGCAGCATGAAGGGCATATACATGCAAAGTTTCTTGTATATAAAATGTAATAATACAGTAGTATTATAACACTAAAGGAAAAGTTTGCTAGACTCCGACAAAACAACTTGCTTTTATCCTCCTGCTCCCACAGAACTCATTGCCTATTTTTCTTTTACTTCAAAAGCCAATGTGCTGGGAAAATAGAACGGAGACTCTGAGAATCCTCATCTTCCTTTATTATAGGATGACTGACTATGAGTTCTGTCTTCATCCATTAACTGTCACTAGGTAGAATAAATGTTAGTATCTGAATGAGTAGTTAAACTGACAGACTAATTTTTCTATGTAATTGTATTACTCATATGTTCTAGAAGATAGTCAAAGGGGTGACTTTTAATTTCTCTGGACACATCATTAGGGTTTGTTCATAAATAAAAATGTCAGAATTTTGGTGACTAATTTCCTTCCCACCACTCCCCGGAATCTATGCTTCAACTAGTATAGAACGTGATATTCTAGATAGTGTCTGAAGTGCTCATTTAGGGTCTTGAGTTATATTTTGAATACTACTGAAAAGATTATAATAACTTTTTGTTTTTCCAGATTATGCCAAAAACTTTGAATCCTCAATGGAGGGAACAATTTGATTTCCATCTCTATGAAGAAAGAGGAGGAATTATTGACATCACTGCATGGGACAAAGACGCTGGGAAAAGGGATGATTTTATTGGCAGGTTTGTGAAATTTGGTAATTTTTGTTTACCATAGAGAGGGTAGAGTTTTTTTTTTGAAAGAATATTTTCTTTAAGTCTGGTTATCGTCAATGATCTTTGCTGAGATTTTTTGGGGGGATTTTTGTGAATTTTTAAAAATTATTTATTTAATAACCACATGATTAGAAGAAGCACTTCATTACAGCATTAACATATTCAATAACAATTTCCACAGCAAAGATGTATATCTTTCAAAATTGGCTGTAAATTTTTAGGTTCACAGTTGAATTAATACAGTTATACAATACTGTACTCAGTATAAACCCTGTAAGACATAAGATTAAATGAGGTTTTGACCTTTAAAAAAGATCTCCAATTTCATTTTAAAATATACTGTCATACACAAAAAATCATTTTTAATGGTACTAATGCTTAGATGTTTGCACACGCGCCTCTAATCTCTATGTATCTGATTATTACTAGTCACAGTCGGTTACTTTCTGAGATCTGTGGCACCTGAGAATGGATATAAAGTCATCAGGTGGATTTCAATGGCAATGTGTATGGTCTTAAACACCCCAAAGCAAAGTATAACCAAAGATTAAAGTGATCAATATAATTCTTTAAGAGTCCGTGTGTATAACTGAAGGCTACATAACAAGAAACAGTGCCAGACAGGAGATACCTTCCTTTGAGTTGTTGGCTGGGGTGGCCCAAGAGACTCCAGACAGTAACCCAGCATATAACTGGGAAAATGAACAACAAACCCCAATCTTATCTAAAGGAATATTGGCAACTGATTGCTGGTATATGAGGAAAAGCTGATCTTCCTAAAACAAGGCACTCTAGATAGGCTGACTAGATTCAGTGGATGGACAAGCACTGGGGAAGGGCTGGAGGTGCCAACAACACAGAGGACAGTAACAGAGATGACAGACTATGTGAGCTCCAGTGGGGGAGTGGGGAGGCTATGGGAGGGTGCCATTTAGGAAGTGGGTATATAGATGAGCAAGATTGTTTGGGAGGTTCTGTATGAAATACATAAAAAAATCAAAAAATTTTAAAAATGCGTTATAAAAATTTGCTTCATGTTAATTAGTAGAGGATCTTTGTTGTTTTGAAGAAAGGAAACTTTCAATTGTAAAGCAATAAACTAAAAAAATTGATTCAAAGACTGACCAGTAGGTGGCAGGTTTGCCTAGTTGATGGTTGGGGTATTCCAGTTTGACAGCTAGAAATTTTCTCCAGATGTCAGAATTATTGTGTACAAAAGTTATGGGAGTTGAAAAAGAGGAATTTCATCTGATATGGGACACTTAAAGGAAGAAAGAACACATTCATATTCTGTAAAGTGAACTGAGATGTTTATTTTCATGAAGAATATTGTGGCCATAAAATGCATTATTTCCTATAACTCCCTACAAGGTAGAGGATCTTTATAATCTCGTAGGAGTTCATAAATCTGTAAAGGAGTTCCTGAGTTTTAGTAAAGGGGCACATAAGTAAGACAAATCCATGTTAATCTGATAATACAGCAAAAATGTATTCTGAGGCTCACATGACATTTCTCTACAAAGTCAATATTATTATTTGGAGTGACTACTTGAATTATATGAATTGTGTTCTGATTACAAAGCCTATTTTTATATTTTTGGATAGTTATGTATGTGCATTGTGACAAAACACTTGGAAACTTGCCAACATTGAAGTAAAGCATGATGTACAGAAAAATTTAGTAGTTTAAAAAACTTCCTTCACTGTAGTTTATAGGAATTCCAAGTCATGAAACTTACAGTCCGAAGAAAATCCATACATTCCCAAAGTAAAGGGAATTTTATTCTAAAAGTCAAAACAAGAATCCAATCCAACATGCTTGTCTCTGCTTTTAGATGATTCCAATATGTATGTTTGAGCAGTAGTTTTCACCACGTTTATAAAATGAGAGGTTAAACTTAGCTTCAATGACCATTAATATTTTACTTGTAAGTGGGACAGCACCACTGTAGCCTAGCACTGTACTATACTTTAATCCTCTTGAAGGTAGAGATCTTTATGGCATGTTGCCCCTCAGTAAAATACTGCTGTCAGAGTTTTCTGAAAGTTCTGTTTGGGTGCATTTGGTGTCTACCACTCACTTAAGTCACGGTGTACATCTGCTCATCTTTAATGCACCTCACTACACTGACTGTTGGCTTCTCCCTCATTAGGCGATGAACTCCTTCAAGGAGCTTTAGCATCTAGCTGTTCCTTGAATGATTAATTCTCTTTCATAGTTGATAGCAACACAGTTATATTTGGTAATCAGATAATAGAAGTAAAACTTGCCCACTCATTGTGTTCAAACTTTCTTATATTGGCAAAAGAATGAAGGGAAATATGCTCTAAAATGCCTGACCTCCACTCTGGCTACATACTACCTGAAGTCTTTTTTTAGCCTCTTTTCTACTTTTTTCATAGTGACAAATATCCTTTTATGTATTTCATCCTTTGGGAAGAATTTCCAACTTTGGAAATCATGAAAACTTCAGAAATCACTTGGCACTGTCTTGTCCCTTACTTAATATTATGAGCTCTGAGGCAAACATGGTTTTCAGAGAGCAGGACCTACTTATTCATTTCACCTTGTTTCCCATGTTTGTCCATATTGAAACACATTTTGAGACTAGAAACATATTGAATAGAAAGCCATAGAAAGTACTTAAGGAGTTCAGAAATAATAAAAGTGATCCATTTTGTCATAAGCCAGATGCAATTGTCTCTGAAAACAATTTGAGCTCAAAAGTTTTTGAGAAAAAGTGTAGCACCAGGACTCTGTAGATAAATCCTAGAACATCTCATATCACTTGAACTCATTTTCACAGTGAAAGGAGTTAGTGTTGAGTTGTGAGATAATCAAAGATGGGCAGCAGAAACTCGCTGCATAATCTGGTGTTTAGCAGTACTCATTTGGCAGAAAAAGGCAATGATTATGGTGAATCATCATTTGAAGCTTATTTAATGTCCAGATAGCATAGCAAACTCCAATTGTCTAACTTTATGCTTATCAAGTAGTGTTATTAACACTACCACTGAAAGGTTACATATTATTGTGAGCCAGTGGCAAGCAAGTTGCACATATTTGAAGGTTCTGTGTTAACTGGAGACAATGCAGATTACAATATAATTTAATTCCCAAAACAGTTTAGAAGAGAATTGATTTGCCTTCCCATTAGTTTGAGTTCTCGGGGTAAACTATCATTGTGATCTGCTCTCTTTTTTGGCTAGCTGTGATTGAAGCATTCTATGTGTATATTGATTTAAAAAATAGACTCTTCTGTGTGTTGGCTGGTGATTGGTGAGTACATTTAAAGTTAGCCATGGAATACAACACTATTCTTTTAATGAATGACATAACTTTTTAGAATGAGACTCATTATACCTCAAAATAAGAATACTTATATAGCTAGGCTTGGTGGCACACACCTTTAATCCCAGCACTCAGGAGGCAGAGGCAGGTGGGTCTCTGTGAGTTCCAGGCCAGCTTGGGCTACAGGAAGACCCTGTCTCAAAAAGACAGAAAAAAAATAAAAGAATACTTGTATAATTAATTATATTTTTGGTATGCTATGGTTTGTTTGCTGTTCATTTTCTACATTGGACACATAATTTTTTGAAAATATGTTTTTTAAATGTAAATTCAATAATAAGGTTGGTTTGTTCATGATAAAAAAGAGACTATAAATTAAAGAAACATGTTCACATGAACACACAGCATTTATGACAGCATGCATAAAACTTGTTCAAACCCAAGACAGACAGGGCACTAGCATGGGTAGGGGAGGTGGGCAGTAAGTGCCAGTCCTTGCTGAAAATCAGTTGTTACTGATGGATACTGGAAGGGGGAGAGTCAGTTTTCATTACTGGTGTGATACCCTGTAGGTTGACCAGAGTTTAGGCCATGGACCCACACCCAGGAGCACTTGGGAGGCACAGATTGAAATTTATAGGCCTTTAAAAAACAATAGTAAATAAATAAGTAAATAAATAGATAAATAAAAACAGTAGACAATAATGGAGGACATGAAATCCGGGGGGTGGAGGGTAAGTGGGGGAGGCTGGGAAGGGGGTTCTGAACATGGTCATAATACATTGTTTGAAATTCTGATATCAATAAAAATTATTTTAAAAATACGTGGTCAAATCTGGAATGCTGAAGCATAAGTATTTTAACAGTGATTGTTGGTTTCTTTCATTTTCACTTGAACTCATAAAGTCAGGCTTTTGCCCCTGACTTCCCACTACACTGTTCCCATCAGGTCACCTATAGCCCAAGCCATTTAATCCAACGGCTACCTGACCCAGCAGCAGAGCTGGAACTGACTCATCATTTCAAGCTTCCTTACCTTGAAACACATTTTTCACTTGGATACACAGGATACCATACTGTTCTACTTTCCTTCTTTGCTGCTGTGATAAAACACTGACAAAAACCAACTTCGGAGGAAAAGATTTATTACACATAACAAATTTTAGTGTATTATCATGGGAAGCCAGAGCAGGAGCTGCAGGCAGAAACCTGGAGGGAGAAACTGAAGTAGAGACCATGGAGGAGTACTGCTTACTGGCTTGCTTGGCTACTTTTCTTATATAACCCAGGCCTACCTACCCATGGATAGCACTGCCCACAGTGGGCTGGGCGCTCCTATATGAATTAATAATTAAGAAAATGCCCCCAAGACATGACCAGAGGCCAATCTGATGGAGGAATTTCCTCAACTGAGGTTTCATCTTTCCAGGTATGTCAAATTGACAGCTGAAGCTATCCAGCACACATATGCTCCATGTTTTCTTCCTGCCTACTGCATGCTCCTTCACAGTCTCCTCTGCACATATTTTATTCAGCAGTCTTAGACTGTAGTTCTGGAAAGCTTCAGAATTCCTACCTTAGGTACCTTCTCTACTATGCTTGTTCTGGCAGTGGTGGCATCAGCTCCAGTGCTGTCCACCACTCTGGGCTGACAACCACTACTGTACAAGTCTAC